GCGCCGAAAGGCTCCGGTCCTCTCAATTCAGGCCCTTCCGTTCGGTGTGTATGTGCGTTTGAGGGAAGAGATGTGCTGCTTGCCCATCTCCCGAGCGTTTGCTATTTTTTGATGTCATATCTTTACATTTAAGAACAGGCAACGAGAAGCCCTATGTAGTCGGTTAGTATTTCTTGGCCTCCAGCCGTCATGCCTGAAGTCCCCATTCATACCCACATCAATCAGACTTGTCTTCGACTCAAGAATAACTTGGAGCTGAATTTCATAGCACACAAAACCAGGCTTAGCAGGGGACGCCCCACAATTCCGGGCCGGCGGTGCCTAAGTTGGACGAGGAATTGAGTCGACCGTGTTTTTTTTTTAGTTGGTGTGAGCCATCATTGAGTCGACTCAAATAGTGTATAACATGACCCTAATAATATGTAAAACTGCATGCCGGATAAAAAACGCATACTGAATACAAAACTTTGCATCACACATTCTTTGATGTAATATAGCCATGCTGTACGAAAACAGCGGTCTATACGGCCAGAAAGCATTTTTAGGGGCATACTTTTTGCCTCTCAAAGGCATGTCGGACATGCAGAGGCATGTGATTCGCCTCTTCTGTGCGCAGTCATCGAATTTGAACATGGTGAGCTTCAGTACGCGGCGCCGAAGGATTCTTGAGCAGCCGAAGCTCGCGTGACACTGCCTGCTCTCGAAGCTGTCATTTGTCATTGTCAGTTCTCGAAAATGGCATTCTAATGCCACGGCCCGACACACGCTCCCCGACACCAGCGCCCTCGCGGACCGACCTGGCCGCGGGCCTGCTCTGCTCTTCTGTGAACTGCTCTACTGTTCAATGAACCGCTCTACTCTTTCGTGAACTGCTCTACTCTTCTGTGAACTGCTCTACTCTTCCGTGAACTGCTCTACTCTTCTGTGAACTGCTCTACTCTTCTGTGAACCGCTCTCCTCTTTCGTGAACTGCTCTACTCTGCCGTGAACTGCTTTACTCTTTCGTGAACTGCTCTACTCTTTCGTGAACAGCTCTACTCTTTTCGAACTGCTCTTCCGTTTCGCTAACTACCCTACTGTTTCGTGAAACTGCTCTACTCTTTCGTGAATTGCCGTACTCTTTCGTGAACTGCTCTACTCTTTCGTGAGCTGCTCTACGCTTTCGTGAACTGCTCTACTCTTTCGTGGACTGCTCTACTGTTTAGTGAAGAGCTGTATTTTTTCGCGAACTGCTCTACTCTTTCGTGAGCTGCTCTACACTTTCGTGAATCGCCGTACTCTTGATATATCTAATCGCGAGCTGCTCTACCCTTTTGTGAAGAATTCTACTTCTTCGCGAACTGCTCTACTCTTTCGTGGACTGCTCTACTCTTCCGTGAACTGCTCTACTCTTTCGTGAACTGCACTTCTCTTTCGCGAACTGCTCTACTGTTTTGTGAACTGCTCCACTGTTTCGTGAATTGCTCTACTCTTCCGTGAACAGCTCTACTCTTTCGTGAACTGTGCTACTCCTTCGTGAACTGGTCTACTCTTTCGTGAACTGCTCAACTCTTTCGTGAACTATTCTTCTCTTTCGTTGTGCTGCGACGCTATCGTCGAAAGCCATCTCGCGGCGGCCTGAGAAGTACGCTGCGAGCCGCGGGCAGGTAGGTGCGGACGTTCAGGTGACGCTTCGACTGCTGGACCTTCTGAGGCTTTGTCCCATCTCACACAGCGTCCACCTGCAGGTTGGAAGATTCCCGAACACGCATTCCTAAGGAGAGAGACCGGCGTTCCTGTTGGTGTTTTTGTTGCAAAACAACGCTGCTGCGAGCGAGCATGTGGTCAGCATCGCGGGTGGTAGGCACTGAGTTTGACCACCACGTCGATGAGGACATTATGCCGTCGGCCTGAGCAGGGATTCTCCTGTGGATGGCACTCACGTGAGGTCAGCCAACAAATGCCAAGAAAACGACAGAATTAATTCATGACGTTTCCAGTCAGATTTCTCCTGATGTCACTGCGCTTGCACTAAGGTATTCCGAAGGCTCTAATGACGCGATTCGTCAACGCTTTGGTTACGAATGGGTAACCCCATCTTGGTTACGAATGGGTGCTGCCTCACTCGCTCCTCGCTCCTCGCGCACCTCCCCCAGTATCGTTGCCAACTGAGCTTTGAGCTGACTTGAAGAACTCCTCCGACTACGCTAAGGGGCGGATATCCAGGCTTTCGTCGAGGGGAGAAGGGCATGCAACACTGAGGCGGCCCCTTGGAGCTTGCCTGCAAAAAATATCCTTGTATCTCGGTCACTACCTTTTAAGAAAAGTGGTATGTAACACACACACACACACACACACACACACACACATATATATATATATATATATATATATATATATATATATATATATATATATGCTTATTCATATGCGTGAATCTAGGTATATCGGTGTATATATTACGTATTTGTATGTATGCATTTACTTATTCACTTATTTCATAAATACGGAAACCCATCTTACTGTGCACAGCCCTATAAAGCTGGGTGTGCTACGCATGCACACTCATAGATCTCACTAATTTCCAACAGATTATGTTAGATGTCCTGATTCTGAGGCTTTGTGCTTCGGAACAACAGGCAAAATAAAGTTGAGTGAGAAGTTGAGTTAGCATCCAAAATATGCTAAGGACGTGATGCACTAGGATCATAAGTGTCATACAGTCAATGGCCAATGCAAATAGCACATACTACGTCGTCAGTATGTAAAATTGCGTTCGGCAATTTTGCGTAAACATTCATCGGGGCAAATTCGACTGCTGCTCTAAGACGAAGGCCCCAGGGCCAACAGGTACGGAACATGACCAATCACTGGTGCCACGGAGGTCAACAAAGTGGCTCCCGTCAACAAGTTTAGGGTCCTCAGAGCAAGCAAAAAAAACCTTACATCAGCGTGTTTGGCCCTAAATGATCGGCAGTGCCTCGGTAGGCTGACACATCCCGACCAAAGCACGGGACCCTCTGAGCAAAGGGGAACTATCCAAGACCATGAATTAATACCTCTGTGCGATAAGAGTCAACGGGCAGGTTTTCAACACGAGCATCGATAGGATTGAAGAATCCTCCGCAAATGAGACCAAAGGAAGAGAACCCTCGATTAAAGTAGAGGGCCCTGAGCATCGAGTGTCTCCGTGCCCTACCTTACAACAGCCCTAGCAACAGCACGAGGCTCTTCAAGCAAGTGGAAAGAATCCAAGACCTATATGGAGGGCCCTGAGCAGCTGAGTGTACCCTAGCATATGAGGCCCCGCAAAAAGCGCGTAGAGCCTTTTGGGCAAATGGGTAGAATCTGTGGAGGAAAACCTGATCGATCAACAATGCTCAAGTATGGAGCTAGATAGCTTCCCAACGATACATTAGGCCCTCCCAAAAAATGCAAAGAGGTCAAAGGCAACGTGGAAAGCTCCTTAGCGATCATGTTGACCCGGCAAGTGGACATATAGGGCCAGGCAACCAACAGCGTAATGCCTCTAGCCAGGGTAATGAGCCCCAAAATTACCCCAAGCAACACGTTTTCAATCAATGTAGAATCAAAGGCATCGAGTTTTGCTGCGTTTTTGTGGTAAGAAAACTGCGTCTGTCCAGACGCTTATGAACCCCTTCGGAGCCTTTAGGTCCCCTCGGCATGGTCCATGGGGCATGGTTCCGCGCCTCTCTTCCCTCCTCTCCTCTCCTCTGCAACCACTACCGGCCCGAGCAGCTTAAAAGATGGGCCAGCCAAGAACATGGGCCATCCATTAAAAAGGAAATACTAACGGCACAATATGCAGGGCTCTGAACGATCGAGTGCACCCGAGCAGGTTAACAAATAGGGTTCCCATAAAAAGCGTAGAGCTCTCCATTAAAATAGGAGGTACCCAAGTGCCCGAACAGGTTAGCAGATGAGGCCCCTCCAGGAGTGCAGAGCTCCCGTTCAGGTGCAAATTACCCGCGACATGATGTAGAGGGCCCCGAATAATCCAATGTGCGAGAGCAGACTAGGGCAGATAGGGCCCCGAAAAGAACGGAGGGCCCTCCATTCAAAAGGAAGTGTCCAGAGCCAAATGTAGAGGTCCCCCACGGTCGAACGAGCCCGATCATCTTATCAGAACGGGCCCTGACAGGAGCGTAAGGCCCTCCATTCCAATGAGAAATTCCCAAAACCCGGTGCGGAGCTCTCCCGAAAGATGGGGAGTAACCGAGCAGGTTATCAGATGACCCCGATAGGAGCAGAGGGCCCTAAATTAAAACACCAAGAACCAATGCGAAGGCCCCCGAGCAATCCAGTATGGTGGAGGGGGTGAACAGAGGGGGCCTCCGACAAGTGTGTAAGGCCCCATTCGAATAGCACTGCCCAAGGCCCAATGTAGAGGGCCCCCGCACGATCGAATGTGCCCGAGCAGAAGAAGTACCCAAGACCCAGTGTGAAGGGTCCCCAAACGACTGAGTGTGCCCAAGCAGGTCACCAGATGGACCCCCGACAAGAGCGTAGGGCCCCAAGCGAGTGCTAGATAACTGGAAGCGCCCTAGACCAATGTAGAGGGCCCATGGGCATATCGCAAGTGTGTCGGTAGGTTAACCGAGACCCGCGTAAAGAGCCCCTGAGCAACTGAGAATACCTCGGCAGGTTAAAATATAGGACCACGGCAATAGCCCACAGAGCCTCTCTGGCTCGTGATTGACAAGAGTGTCCGGCACGTTAGCAGGAGGGGGCCCCAACGGCAGAACAGCGCCCACTGAGCAATGCAAAAAACTAAATGGCAGCGTGGAATGCTGCTGCAAGTGGGCATATAGGTTCCCCCTGAAACAGCATCGTCACCTAGACTGTGTAATAAGGCTTAAAATCTCCAGTTCACAACTTTTCCAATCATTGAACATTTTTTGACTTTCCTTAGGCCATTTACTTTCGCTTACAACTGTTCCTGGCTGCCTGGAAGTCCAGCGTTATCCAATTTTGTTGCATTTTGTGCTTAAAAAACTGCACCTGCCCGGCGGGCTATTGGCCTCTTTGGAACCAATAAGCTCCTTCGGAGTCCATGGGGGTCTGTTCAATGGCCTTGGGGGGGATCATTGTCCCGTGTCCCCCCCCCCCCCCGGATCCGTCCCTGACTACGCTACCACCGCGCTGTCTCGCTGTTATAGGGCCCCGCCGGCCAGCCCATGGCACCCCTAGCGGCGGCAGGTGTGATATTTTGCGGACTATACCAGTGGGTTTGTGCATTTGTAGTCCTCTTCTCCTTTCAGGGCTTGCCCATTTGGGTGCGTTTGTTTATTGTTATGTTATACTTTATTTTTGCATTCCATTTTGTCAGCATTGAAACCCATCTAAGTGGGTTGGAATGATAGTCAGTGTACCTGTCCTTGTATCTGTAGGTACTTTGTATGGTATAGATAGATATATGTGATCAGTGTGTGTGAATGTGGTGCAATGATTAATTGCATTTTGTTCATGCATTCTTTGCCAAGCAATATGTGCACTAGAAATAAATGTGGCAACAGTGACTTGCATCCAAACCTTGCCATGCTGGAGTAAAAAAGATGATGTATGTGTATATGTTTGATTATATATATATACATTTTTTATTTATAAGCCATGAGTCTGGGTGGTGTGATTGATGAATTAGGAAGTGCTAATTTGTGTGTTATTCATGCTTCAGACTGAGTACCCTTTGATGGTGGAGGGGGGAAGAAAAGGAAATCTTCACAAGGCCATGGTTGCTACCCAAATAATGGCAAAGGAAAAGGCAAACAAGACAAGAAGCAGGGCAAATGCCTATAGAAAAGGTTTGTGTGACCTGGCATTTGCAGGGCATGTGATTCCTAACTTTCCTTTTTCGTGACTTGTGTGCGAGGCATTGTTTATTATTATTACTTCAAAGGCTTCAAGGTAAAATTGTTTTATACACTGCAATGCATTTGCAGTGAGTGTAGTACAATCAAGGTTTTTTCATTAGATCTTTAACTGTTAATTTTGATCCATGGTGCATCTCATCCAGATCTGGTAATTATGCTGATGTGAATTTGAAGTACTTTCAGCTCTATGTTTGCAATACTGTGTGTTATGATTAAAAGTTTTTGAGTGTAGTTAAGGGTATGCATGAATGGATCAAAACAGATCTTATATGGCATGACCTAAGGTGGCACATGTAGTAAGAGCAGTGCACAAATTTGTGTTGCAAAAATGTGTGAGGCAGCAAGTTTCACTTATTTTTACTCCATTTATACATGTTCATATGGCGAATTGAAATGGAAATTGGCTCAACATGATATCCGTGAGGGGGAGATGTTATTGCACATGTGTGTTTATTTTGGAGGTGTCTCTGAGGGCCAATTTGTGTTGGTGTGGTACTGTGATGTGTCCATACACAGATGTGTGTGTTTGCGTGCACTTGGCACAGTTGTTAGCATTGTTGGTTTTTCACTCGTATTAAGCTGTGTCTGCTGCTATTTTATGTATTTTTCATGTCATTTGGGACATTTGGATCAATAGGATGTATATGGATAGCTTGGGTTTTAATTTTTGTGTTGTGGATGATTGGTAAAAATAGGTAGCACTCATTTCATCCAGCATATTCTTTTCAGCTAAACACAGTTGTCCCAGCCAATCATCAGCAAAGTCCTCACATGCCCACTTTTGGGTCAGAACATGGAGCAGGTATGTGCTAAGGGAGATGCAGTCAACATTGTCAGTTTCATCAGCTTTGGGCTTTATGGAGCATTCAGCTATTGAGGCCATGTGGAGTCATGTGTCTTTGACCCTGGTAGGAGGGCTGAGCACCACATGGAAGCTGGCGTCTGGGGAATGCAGGAGAAACCCTTTATCACTAGTTTTCTGGGTATGCAGACTGGCCATTACCCACTCTTGCATCATTTTGTATGGCTATGCATTTGCATAGGAAACAACTCAAGGGTTTCTAATCAAGACTTTCCCTCACCTGAGATGGTCCGTGAAGCTTGCTGCGAGGGCAAAGCTCCTTAATTTGTATTGATGCTTGCCTTGTTAATAGGTTTGCATCCACCATGTTTTTACATTGTCTCTCAAAGTCTCATTTCTGAACAGACACATCTATGCAGTGTCCCCTTCCCCTTCCCAAGAAACTCGGTATCTCACAACCACATAATGTCATGGAATCTGGAATGTAGTCAAGGGTGTAAGGGAATCTTTTGCAACCTGTGTGAGCACACATACCAGGAGTTACAGAGAGGAAAGTGGGGCGAAGCTAGTTGCAGCAAGTGAAAGTGATGGGCAGGTGTGCCCACGTGTGCCAATCACGTGGTAATTGGCATTCCAGAGCTGGATAACTCCGAAGATCCGGATCGACCGACGTAGGCATAGCGCCAAGAGACGGAGGCCAAACATTGGGAGGAAGTCAGGAGGGGCTATTTGATGATGCCGTAGCTGCTCGTGCTGTGCCGAGTCCAGGTGAGGTGCGAAGGCATGACAATTAGTTTAGTAAGCCACCAGCAGCAGTTCGTTGCATGTGAGAGGCGGGCTTCTTAGGGCATTTAGGACCGGGCGTAATCCGCCGGCGTACAGCCTTTTGTGAAATGCCGGCTTACTGTGTGCTGTTCTGTTCATTTCGTTGGCGTGGTCTCGCCACCACGCGGGCGTCTATGTGTGTCAGTCCGTTCCTCTGCCGGTCATTCAGTCAGTTTTTCCTGACCGGCTGCATGAGTAAAGACGAATTTTAATGCATTTCGTTTCCTATATGCTTGTACGCCCAATATCTGGCATGATTGAAATCCTAAAACACCAAAATGTTTCCTTAGTCTTGGGGGAGCATTATGTTATCCATGTTTTCACCATAGTGTTTATTCTTTGGGGGAGGGGGGGGGGGACATTGTGTTATCTACGCTGTTGGCATGAAGCTTTAGTCGGATTACCCTGGTGCCCGGGTAAAGAAGGTATTTTAAGAGGATAGCAGCCAGCCAGCCAGATGACCTTATGTACGTGGTTGTGCGTATGTCGAGCCAGCGGCCCTTGAATCGGTTATTGTTCCGGAGGATTTAAAACCGAACAAGTGAATTTCTCTATGTTTATCTGGCTTTTGTTATGTAACGCCGCATTTTTAAGTGCTTTTAAGATTCTGTTGTTGTTTCAGGATTGACTTGCTCGCTTTGCGAGAGTCTTGCGGGTGTAAGCTGCGGGAGCTGCGCAGGGACGGCGATGTGCCATCATTGTGATGTTGAAGAGCACACCATGCGGCCATTTCACGCCAGGCGGCAGTGGGCGTCTGGGTTGATGCAGCCTTTGGCTGCAGGTACTTCTGTTACATCAGCGGGAGAGTTCGTCCAGTTCGGTGAGTGTCTTAATAATTATTATCTTACTGAGATAGGCAGAATTATTTTTGTTTGGTAATTATCATTTTTACCACCACATATGTCCAGTATACGTTATGATACGTGGGCTTTTTTCAAGAATTTTGAACAGGGTTCGGGGACCAGTAAGCTTAAATTGTGCTCAGTGTGTGAAATTTCCATTTGGAAAGGCCTGGCCCATCCTGGTTGTCGTGTGTTTGGGAGTTGTTATGCAGCCAGTGAACGCAGGCTCACATAATCTTCAGCAACAAGGGCAATGCCATCAAGTTGTGGTTCATAGATTGTTAGTCATCTGCGCTCCAAGCATTTCATCTGGCGTGCTGTTGGCTACAACATCGTAATAGGACCAAAAGTTAACCTCCTCCATCCGATTAACATGCAAGTGGTAATTTGTATTGTGTAAGAAGTTAAAGCAAAAGTCAAAGCCAAGTCTGGATCTGGGCAATGCGGCGTAGCGACATGAACAATAACGAGCGGGGACGAAAACGGCCATTTGCACTGATAAAAGTGTTGGTCCTTGTGCGTAGACTAACACGCAAAGTCGTGTGCAAGTCGTATATCTGTCTGTTTTTCGGCATTTTGAAGCATTATTTACCCGAACTAAGAAAAGAATAAAACCATCAACGCAATGTGGGCATATGCACCAGATCAATTCGCTAACTGATCTCAAAGCTGTCTTGACTCCTATGCGCATCAGTAATGGACCGAATAGCGGCAGATGACACCTTCTTAACCAAATCCATACAGGATACGTGACGCTTCGTCCCAGTAGATAACAATTGTTCAATGAAAACCAACATATAGTCGCTTGTATGACGCATATATACCAGAAATACCTGCGGTACTTCGGTCATAACTGTCTAGAACTCACGTCAGTGCGAATTAGTCATTGTCGATTATAATTGCCAAGCGTAACCAGACTCTAGAGCGGAACATTTTCAGGCAAAACCATCGTGCACAAGCGCGCTAAAGCTACATCAGCAGACCGTCACGTGTTCAGTTAGGTAGACACGCCAATACGCTGATCAGATCAATTGGTGTTGTGTGCCGGTGGCGTCCGGGGCCACGTGCGTGATTACAGCTGTTAACTCGCATATGTTATCCAAGCGCCCAGCCCACGTCGCACAAGATGTGGGCTATGTCCATGTGTATTAGCAGCATTGTGGACTCCGTAAGACATCCCTGTTGCCTCCACTAGATTTGAGAACACGGTACAGATGATGGTTGTAGGTCTTGATTTCTTTATGGATCCGTTTATGACGGTTTTGTGTTTCCCAACAGGAAAGTTTTCGTCACACGTGTGTCTTGCTCGCTTTAGTAACTGGGTAGGTGCAATTGGGTAGCAAGAGGTGCGTTTTACAGGCTCGAAAAGCGCTCAAATTCTGTCACTGTCCTTGAGATGTGTCCATAGTATGTTACCGTTCTCTCGTAAAAATATAAATCCACAGATCGAATAATTCATTGTGCGGTGTCTTTCAGATCCGGTTCTGCCGCTGCATGAGCGCAGGAAGGCCCGTGAAGCCTGTTCAACCGAGTGCAAGATGCGCCCCTCATCGGTCGAGGTATTGGCCATCACCATGCGTGGTCATTCTTTGTGGGCAGTTTCTTGTGAAAATGCTTAATAAGCTGCCACGATTGTGCGCGGCCCGCGGAAACATGAAGCGTAATATCTGTGGTCGGGTATGTCACATTGCACAGCGCCCTAAGCGCCGTTTTCGCTGGACTCCGGGAAAAGCCGTGTAGTAGCACTCATTTATCTTGTGAGGACGGACTGTGAAGCTGGTGGGGCCTATGGATAAGTTGTTATGGGGACGTTCCACGTCCAAAATGTGTGCAATGCCTCTGTGGTATTTGTGGATTGACTCCATGACCCAAATTGTCCTATTTCGTTAGTGATATTTGCAAATCGTAGGTTTGCCACTGGTTCAATGAAAAACAAGTACAACATAGTGGTGCTTTCATTACGGTAGCATTTGAGTGAAGTGATTCACATTTGTTTGTGGGTTTTGAACTGAATAACCATGTGGAATATCCTTCAGTGCAGTTCACAGTCCTGCCGTCCTTAAGACTTTCTGAAACCTTAATTCTTAATCTTCTTCTAAATCTTGCAATTGAGCAAAAGCATTTGAAGAGGGTGATTCACATCTGTGTGGGGTTTGAACTGGAATGTAGTCTTAAATATCCTGTGGTGCAGTTCACAGCCCTGACCTACTTAAGGCTTAATTCCTAATTAGCATTTTTAATGCTTAACCTTCTTAATCTTCTTACACCGTTTTTAGTTTCTGAGCTGCACGCCGGCTAAGACGTGAAGACCTTTTCGGGAAAACAATTTCAGAGTCACCTAGACATCCATGGTATCACAATGACGTCATTCAAACCCTGCCATTCCATTGGTGATGCGGCGATCAGCAGCATATGTACTAAGCAGTAAATGTATTGGCTGTAGCAGCCTTTTTCACTGAAAAGGATGCCACTAGTTCCAAGTGACCTTATTTCATCATACCTGATGCTTGCTTCATGATCTTCAAATGTGAAACATTCCCTTGAAACCATGGCATTTCGGCCAACTGCTGAACATAAAAGTGTCCATTTTAATCGTTGTCCCGAATGTTTAGCGATGGAAGAACTGCTGTTATACCCACAGCTTTCTACTCAGTTAAAGTTAGATGAGTAGACTGTTTGACATGAGCAAATTTGTGAGACTGATCCATACAGAAGTGGAGCATTCGGCACTGCGCGAGTAGGTGAGGCGTAAAATAACCGTTCGTGAATGGTGTGCGAGAGAAAATTGAATCTTCTTATTTTTCGCGATGCGTTCTTGTAGTTCCTTTCAAACTGTATCCTATCCGAAAAAAACTTTTTATCATGCTTTAGTAGAACCTATTTCTGATGGGTGTGTTGAAATGAGCAAGGTCGCCTGGTGACTTTGCCTACTCTTATTCTTGTAGGGTTTTTCTTCTTTTTTTTTTTGGCTGGCCGAATCCTCTTTAAGTGACCATTTCTGCACATGACTGCCATAGAGCATAGCTAGCCGTCATAAAGGACACAGCGCCCCGAGTTTGACGGGTAAATGTATGGTACGATTCGTGAGTTATGACTTGTCCATGTCTTGTCCGTATCGCAATGTGTTAAAATAAGGTGTCAGCATGTTCCCGCGAACCTATAACCGACCTTGCATCATGTGCAACACGTGTGTTTTAACACAGTCCTATCATTAGTTCCCAGCGGGTATTCCGGGCGCGGGCGCGAAGCGTCATTGCGTCCCCCCAAACATCACACCCCAGATGACCTATGC